TAGAGGATCTATGCAGTGAAGCCCATACATGTGTCCCTAAGACTTTTTGGTTTGGTGTCTTTTTGGAGGGACCACCAGTTCCATCGCTGATTTGTTCAGTTAGATGAGACACTAAAGAATTTTCAAACCTGATTTTGATTTCTGTTTAGGATACGGTGAGTTTTTTATTCCACAAATGATTGTATCAATTTACAGCAAAACCAGCTGATAATCTCATCATAGTATCTGTAGTGCACAGACAGGGACCCCCACACACCCCCAAAAGTGTCAGTGAACTCAGCATAGCTCTGTCAGATCCCATATCATCTCTGTCTCTCTAAAGTGACAGCTAACCCACTAATCCTGAACAGTCTAAATCTAAACAATACGATCCTTGCTCTCTCACACACGTTTCAGATGTATAAGGTATAGTGAGATCAAATCTCTGCAAGAACACCACAGGACTTCCTTCTTGTCTGCATCTACTGTCTGGTTATCTTTGGCATTAAATTAAATTCCACTGATTACCATATGATGTGGACAAGGTTCCATTCAGCAATTACAACTCGAGCTACTTAATTTTTAATGGTGATACATCTTCAGCTAGCGAAAATCAGGTACTAATTCTACCTGCTGGCATTTCCTCGCACCCTCGGACCACGGAAGCCCAGGGGCAATAGGAGAGGAGGCTCCCTGCATGGCAGTGCCGTCTGCAGCTGCTAGAAAGGTCTGCTTCATTCCACCCAGTTCAGATGCGTGACAGATACATCAATCTTGCCTCAACTGCGTGAAGAAATGTACGCTGTTTTGATGGGGGAAAAAAAATGAGGTGGTTTGCTTTTGTCTCACTTTATAGAATTCCACTTTAAAGAAGAAGGAAGGAAAAATCCCCCTGTGAAAATCTTCAGTTCAGTTTGCTGCCTCTGCTTCTGCCCAGAAAAAAGGAAAACAGTAGGCAAAATTTGCTGCTTGTTTTTAATTAACCTATTTTAATTCATTTCTGCAGAACCCTTGCAGATAAAACAGCTGGGTTTTTTTTTTTCTTCCCTCCTTTTACATATCTTAATCTTTCATTGAAAATGATCAAAAACCTATGGCAGCAGATGGGGATAGAATATGAAAGTTTTCACAAAGGAGTACAGATTATCAGAGGAGGAAAAAAATGAAAATAGATTTCACTTTAACTTTTGAAAAATATTTCTAGGCTTTAAAATTTATAGGCAGCTCTGTATCTTTCAGGTCTTAAAGGAAAATTCCAGCCATCATTTGGCTGTAAGTTATTGTAAGTATATATTTACTGTATATGCAGTTATTTTCTTCTTTCCATGTCTCCTCAGATATACCCACCAATTTTTCAGTGCTTTTAGCTGAAGGTATGTTTAAGGTGAGGGAGATAGGAGAAATAGCTGCTGTAAAGCACTATAACCAACTCTCCTGTCTCCAGTTGTACAAACCAGCCCTTGATTACTACTTCTAAAAACTGTCCCTCTCGCAAGCACTCGAAATGAGGCTTAATCAGTGAACCACTCTTCACCTGGGACCAAGGTTTCCCGAAATTATCCTGGAATTAATCACTTAAAGTGTATACTACAGATTAATCACTTAGCTCTGTTTGGAATGTGAATTATGAAAGGGTAGTTTGAGAAAGCTAAGAAAGTTCTTTAAGAACTTTATTTTTTGCAAAAATATTGTTTGGAGTGCCTCACTGCAACTTGTGCGACTGGATGTGAACGTAGGACCAATAAATCCTGTCAGTGCACTTACTGAACTACAATTTGCCAGTCTCATGCAGAATTAGGAGCAGCAGAAAGACTCAACATCAAGAAAAGAAGAAATGAATTCAAGAGAAGTTTAGATTAGTGCAAGGAATAAAGGTCAGAAAATATAACTGAGAAACCCCAGTGGAACAAAGCCGCATTACAGCATTAACGAGCCCCGTTACAGAGTCTGCACGTACCAGATCCTCAGCGAGTTTAAACTGTCGCTGACACCTTTCACTGCATGAAGACATGGTCTTGTACTTGCGGAGATGCACTCAAGACGCAGCGGCTAACTTCTGGCAACAACTCGAAAAGGGGAACTGTAGAGTGCTTTTCAGTAGCTTATTTCAATGAAATAAATTTGATTATCCCTGTCACTTTTCATCTGACAATCTCAAAAGATTTAGCAGTCATTTATCCTCGAGAGACGGGCAGCACAGAGATTGCTTTGTCCGCTGCTGAAACGCGCCTGTTCAGAAGCGTGCGGCAGTTTAAGGACACAGCATGCCTTACTGGTTTAGAAGTTGACGTCAGGTACCTAGATGTTCCTCTGCGTTTAAATGGGGAAACACTCTGGCTTGAATGTTTTATTTTCTTTAAAAACCATCATTGTATACCTTTAGTGACAGCAGGTGAGAAACTTTATTTAGTCGTAGAGGCCTACCTGCAGCAGCAGAGCTCTGTGTAGCATAGAAAAGGGGAGGGATGCCAAGGTGACCAGTGCTGTAAGAAAGATGCAAATTGCTGTTTCTGCTGCCTGTGATACAAGTATATTCCCGAGAGGGCTCATCCAGGCACTAGACTGACTGACTCCACTTGGATTTGAGGGAGTCACAAAATAAAGAAAACCCATTGTAAACAGTAAGTGAAGAAGGTGAAGCATACTTAGTGGTAATGAAAACAAAGCCTTTCATAGCGGAGTCTGGTAGCACAAGTCAAAGGCTGAGCACGAGGTTTCTGAATGTTCTGTGTTTGCTGACACTTAATTCTTTATGGGTAACATCACGGTTCCTTAAACTGGGCGGGGGGAGAATATACCTGAACAAAGTGCATAAGCCAGAATGACGGTGGCAGGCTTTCCCGAGTAATACCTCACCGAGAAGCTAAGTGACGGGGTATATTTACCTGTATTTTACCTGCAAAAGGACACAAATTCCTGGAAAACACAGGCAGGAAACGGGGGCAAAACAAACTGGTAGAGGAGTTTCTAATGTGTTGCTCAAACTCAAATGCTTGCACTGGGAGAGGAATTAGGAAAAGTATTTACAATAGGTGGTGGTTTGACGCTGACAGTAGACAGCACGACTAGCCATTAACAACACTAAAAGGGGTAGTAATTGGAGAGGTATCTGAAGATTTGCTTAGTGTCTAGACAGTAACTTGAGATCGAATTCCTGTTTTTCTCTCCTGTACTTCTACTAATGTAATTTCAGACAAGATGTTTAAGACTTAACTTCAAATGCATTTCAGTTGTTCAACTTGAGGCATCCTGACCCAGTATTGGCACCGTGGGCTACTCCAGATCTCAGTCTGGCGACTAGACACATCATTTAGTTAATGAATTATTGCACTTTTTACCCCAAGCTCTTCTAGCACTTTTCACCTCAGCTCTTAAGAGAGCAGTGCAACCCCCGGTATCTCTCAAGTCCCTTCAACTCACAAGGAACTTGCCAAGAACCAAATGTAATAGCTCTCTAAAGTTTTCAGTTTAGAATAAACTTATCTTAGAAACTAAATAATGCAAACATTTCCCTCATAAAAAAAAACAAACAAAAAAGTGGTCTTAGGGAAGAAAAAACAACTGTAGGTCTGAAAATGAAGAATGTGTTCTACCAGTCTTGACCGTTCAACAGTGTGGCTAGCATTATATAAGCTTTACCTTCCCTCTGAATCCAGATTTTAGTCTAGCGCGAATGTTACACTTAGACTAAACAAGCTGTCCTCATTTGCTGAAAGGCACCCAGTTCCGCACCAGTTTTGCCATTTTACTCTCACGCAGGGTTTGATCAGTAGCTGAGAGTGAGTGAACCAAGCGCGCAAACTAACTCGGGCTCTGCTGATGTGTGGTCTGTCACTCTCAAAGAGAGTGCGGAACACTTTGATTCTTTATAATCCATGTTGTGTTAAAATTAAAGCCGCTAGGAAGTCTTTTTATCGGAACAGCTATCAAAATCTGCTAAAGCCATCTGTTTCTCTGGCCCTGTTTATTCATAAAAATAAAGGGGAAGATCCATTCTAAATCAAGCGACTTTGGGCCAAATTCCATTGTATCAATGAAAACACCCACATGTGCAGCTGGCAACAGAGTTGAGTGCCATGCATCTAACAGAACCTTTAAAAAGTTTTAAAAGCATCTAGAAATGAGCTAGGTTTCTTTTGTACGACAGACATTTGCAACATGCATGATGGACCAACATAAAAAACCCCCAGTGACCTGCATTTGCCAAAACCACAGTTCTGGTGTTTGTTTTCCTTTTTTTCCTTCTTGTCTTTGCACTAAGTATGACAGAGCTGAAACCCTGAGAACCGCAGAGAGCTAACTTGTTTATTTATGAAAGACCACCAGTATCTCAAACATCACCTTCCTGTCCTACCAGACGCAATCTTAAAAAAACCCCTGAGGATCAAAGTGCAGTTTAATTTCTCCTGTTCACAAGCTGGTGGTGGCAAATCTGGCGAGGGAACAGATTTTAATGGCGATTTATAAAACAAAGTAATTTAAGAAATTACTAATTTAAGAGCATTCACTTATTCGCATCATCTAGGCTACCAAAGATCTGTCATGAAGTAACAACAATTCAGTACCTACGTATCATAGGGTCATTCAAACTGATGACCTGGATAGTGAATTTTAACCTGTTGTCTGCTTGAGAGTCTACGGACCCAAAGGTTCTGTAACAAGTAATTAATGAAGGCATCTGTGCTGTTAGTAGACTTGCATGATGTAAGTCTGCAAATCAAAAATCATAAAATCATTGACTCAAAATTAAGCACTTATTCATCAATCTCCTTGAGGTGTCCCATCCTTCAACAGCATTTGCAATAATTCCGTGTGATTTCACAGAAACATCACAAAGATCCTTTTTGCTGTCATTTATACAGACACAGCATATGTCACAACAGTGTGGTCACACCAGCAAAGGAAGGCGGAGTGACTCTTGCACACTCCAGTCCTTTAGACAGTGTTGACAAGAAATGCATTAAATGAGAGAGTTCCACCAATTCTGGATGCATATGTGTGGCTTTTAGCATACTTCTTACCTGGACTCCTTTTGAGTGATGGCAAGATAGATTTCCCACGAGCTCTCTTCGGGAATAGCTCCATGTGGTATCAACAAACTGACTCCTACAAAAGAGCAAAGGCAGAACTTAACTTTGGGAAGGGCACTGGGTGTAAAGAACAGTGCACTACTGGCCTCTGATTTGCAAGACCTAGGAAGGCCATCTACTAGAGCAGAAGAATGCTCGGAAACAGTGGTTCTGACTACATCACTATCAGATGAAAGGAAAATACATTATTAATACGATCCACATTGTTATTAATATTTAACTGTCTTAGAGCCTGGAATTATATTGACCCATGCTTAAAAACTGCTTGCTCCAACAGAGGTTTTAAATAGTTGACTTCCTGTTGTTTTGTGTCACTAAATGACACTGGATTCATAGTCTAGTCTAGGTGTGACTGAAGGCTTAACTGACTTAGTGCCTCTGCCTTTGTAATATTCATTCCTGAACATAAGAACAATCTGCGAAGAAATGAACACATTCCATGTGTTGTGCGTGACTGTACACTAACTATCGCATCCCTGAATTATATACTGCTATCAATCTTCTCTAAATACAGACCACATTTTTTTATGGTATGCTTTAAAGTACCCATTTTATGAATCATGAAGGATGCAAGCTCTAAAGCGTTCAGTTCAACCAGATACTAAGAGATAAGCCTGGACACACTAGTAAAATGAAATCAAAGTTGAATTTAAAGTGAATAAAGATCACCAGAGTTTGAAAGATACCCTCTTGGCCAGCAGTGGTGGTATCTGGCTATTTCTGCTATATTTGCCATTTTAAAAAAGAAAGTATCCAACATAAAGAATTTTATTCAGCATGATATGAACGTAGTGATGTAGTGCAGCATACTGCAGGACTATAATTTTTACATCTTTTATTTGACTTTAATTTGGTGCCATATGTTTTCAGCTAATTTAACAAAAAATTTCTTAAGTCTAAAATATGTCTCACAAAACTCTGAAGACACAAAACAAACTCTACTTCTTAAACAACGCAAATTGAGCATCTCTACTGCAGTGTTTTAGTGCATAGCCCAATTTTGAAATGCCAGTTGACTTTGAAGCGCCCCGCTATGGAAATCTGTCAAGCTATTAAGCTAAAAGAAAGAGAAAACCAGAAAGCCAGGAGTAAATGCTAACGAAAGCCGCACTAGAGTTTTCATTGAGAGTGGAGGCTGTTCTCCAGAGACGTCTGTTTGTTGCACGCTGCAGACTTCAGTAACGTAATGAAGGCTGACAACGTTAACGCAGTCAGATGTTGGTGCATGTAGATTCTGCGTCAAATATGACCCCGTTATATAAGATGCTGATCCAGTATCGACCGCCTTCCTGGGGAGCCCTTCTTTTGGATCAGGACCCAAGTAAGCAACAGCTTTGATTAATGTGACTTTCATGCTGAAGACATCAAGAGACGCAGGAATTTATAACAGTTCAGATAGGCATAATGCCTCTTTACTACTCATCCCAAGCTTTGTTCTGATCAGTCTTCTCCTGTGTGGGCAACATGCTCTACTTCCCAGAATTTGCATTAAGGGAGCCCCTACTTTTTCTTTTCTTCCCTTTTTTTTTTTTTTTAAAGTTACAGAACACTACATCAGGCAAAGTAAGTTTGATCTAAAATTATTTTATATGCTTTTAATGAGAAAGGAGCTACCCACCTGTGTTTGGAACCACTAAACGGCCACCCAGGTGTCCAAAGATGGCAGTTGTCTTCAGCTCACTTCTTGTTGAAATAGAAGACAGGTTCTGAATGTAGGTAGCCTTATTTCTAGCCTGCATTGTCCCAAAAGCTCTATTATTCCCATGAGGAAAAGTTCCAGAATGTGCCTTTCCATGATACTCGGCCCTCTCCGTCACCCCTAGGGACACCATGAATGAACTCTGAACTTTGACTTTGATGTCTGACAGCGGGTTGAACAGCGAAGACTCTGTCATTAGCTCCTTGTCCATGGGGTCCTGCAGGCAGATGGGGCCACTGTACGTCCTGCTCACTGTCAAGTCAGGCTGCATGGAGGAGTTCAAAAGCAGGGAGTTACCTGGCAGAATGAAGCAGATCGGGGGGTTAGTTACTGAATTGATGCTAAATCTGAAATCTCTTTCTGACCTCGCCACCATTTCCTTTTTGACTTGCTCTTCCTTCCTGATATTCTCAGGGCTCAAAATCACAGGTACTTGATCGCTATGTTTTCCGCACTTTAGGCAACTCCAGAGTGCATGAATCCAAGAAGGAACTTCCTTCTTCTTTCGGTTATGTGTATGCCTTCTTTCTTTCTTTTTTTTTTTTCTTTAATTAAAACCCACTGGGTGAAAACACATCTTCCTGCAGACCTTTTCCGTGAGCTTACACGAAACAACAGCTTCATGTCGGAGGGAAACTGGGTTGAAAAGAAAGTGGGACATAGGGAAAAATACTACAGCTATTCATTTAGGAGCATTTTAGCTCGGAAAACACTGAAAAAAAGAGAAGGAATGGATAGATTTAGGGCCTGAATCCTTTAGCTGGTTTGGTCTTTTTTTGTTTGATTTTGTGGTTTTGTTGTTGTTGTTTGGGTTTTAGTAAATAAGTTTTCCGAAGTAACTAATTTTCTGGAAATTATCTGCGCTGCATCTTTGAAAATGTGATCACTTTAAGGGACTGCAGGCTGGGTTGCTAACATAAATACATATCTGCAAAGAATAAAATTTGGATCCCTCTAATCCATTTTCTGTATGTCAGTATTGTGCTCTCTTTTCTCAGCAAACTGAACAGAGAACTGGCTTTTGTTTTTTTCAGCTGAATTGTTTAGTTTACAAATGCTCTTATTTAAAAAGCCCACAGACAGAGAACCCAAAGTAACTGAAACTGAACTAATAGCATCCTGGCATGAGAGAAACTGGCACACTCAGATATTTTCAGAGTGTCCAGAACTAATGTTTTTGAAACATTAAGTGAAACAAACAATTCCCCAGACTCAAAACAAGACTTTCATGGCAAACCGAACAACAAAGGAAAAAATTACTATTTGAGACCGTCATTGAGAATTACATGATGCTAATTAAAGGCTTGGATTTTTAAATGAATGAGTAAACATCCTTCAAACATCCTTGTCTACCAAGCCCTTTTTCTAATTTCTTGCAATTTATGCTTGGTGAGGAATGTTGTCCAGAAAATAAAGTAACTGTAAAAACAACACCACAACCCCCCCCCCACCCCTAACTCTGCAACATATTTCACTTTTCCAAAGAGAGGAGAGACATGGGGATACTTTCACACCCCACCAACACACCCGCCCACCCACAATAAGGCAGGTCTCTATGTTAGAATGTCAGTACGGAATTAAAAAAACATACTATTTTAAAGTAATCACCATTTGTATTCCTCCCCACCTTTCTGTCCAAAGGAAATACTATTCCAGAAAACATCTGAGTGCTGCTTTTAGTAAAAGTAAATATTTCTTCCCTATTTTATTGTACTGGTGGCTTTCTGAAGTATTTAAAAAAAAAAAAAAACAAAAGCAAAACCGAACATGTTTACGCACATTTATTTCCCACACACCTCAGACTGTGGATGTTTGCATGCTAACAGCAGCTTATAAAAATACTTAAAGTTGGGTTTCTCAAATTAACAGTAAAAAACTAATCACTTTTATTGGAGTAAATAAAATAGAAGATCTGTAACTGAGTAGGAGGGAACTACAGACATGTTTTCTGGGCTTGTTTTGGTTTGTTTGGGCTTTTTGTAAGTCACAAATGTCAGTGCGGAAGCTCGTGAGGGTATTTCTAAAGCGCTTAGAGTGTGGTCAAGGTGATGTATTTGTCCGAGCTGCTGTGACAGAGCAGTAGCAGAGCCAGTAAGAGACGGTCCTAAGCACCAGTAAGAGACGGTCCTAAGCACCAGTAAGAGACGGTCCTAAGCACCAGAGCCCCTTCCTGGCACTGCGGCTGCCCTCGCCTGGCGTGCACACATCTGCTCAGCAGCAAGCTGCAATGCCCTCCCACAGCCAGGCACCGAACGTGAGCTTAGCATCCCTTTGCAGTAGGAGCTCTGGAGAGAAGAAAATGAAATCACAACACTAACCTTGTCTGACTGTTTTAAAATTAAATGTCTGGAAGCCTCCTGTCAGTGCAGATGAATCAATCACATCCACGCCGTACTCACTCTGACTCCGTCTGTAAAGGGTAACGCCAACCACCAGCACAGCTACAGCAATGACTGCTGCTCCCAGGCCGGAGTACAAGGCAATGTCGCTGGCAGTCTCAATATCTGAAAGGAGAAGAAGCAGGTACCGAGTCAGCAACACTCACAAAAACGTTTCTGACTGGCGCTGGCTGGCCGTGAGCAACGGGGATTGACTACAGGAGGCCAGAGCCACGTGGCCAGGGAGGTAAAGCTTGGGCCATAAATGTGGAGCAGCTCACAGCAGGGCAGTGGAGCACAAAGGAACACTGAAAAGCAAGCGTTTGAAAGCATGAGCAAATATCCTGATGCATCACTCCATATAGGTGAGCTGACATTGCTTTAGGGATTGCATCACGGTCTTGACAATTTTCTTTACAATGGGAGAGTGGGACTTGTGAGTCAGGAGCGGAGCGCTTACTGCTAAATAGCCTTCTCTCCCATCAGCACGCATTGCTAGCTTGGGCTCCTTGCTGAGGCGTGCCGTCGTTTCCCATTCCAGCCCAGCGGAGATGATTACGGTACGGTAATACGGCCCTTAAAGGCAGGACGTGGAGCAGCGGCAGCTAGGGAGGGCGGCTTCAGCTATCGGCACAAGTCCCAGCTACTGCCAGCCTCCGGGGACGTGTGCGTTTCAGCTCTGAATTCTGGAGCTAATCCAGGAGGTCATGAATCCTCTCAAAAATTCTTAGTGAAGATTTCCCCTTTCCCCTCTTTATTTTCTGCCTGAGCTTTAGTGTAAGAAGGAAGAGTCCATCCTCTCACAGCTCAGAGGGGGCTGAGGAGATCCCACCTATCTTCTTGGATTCCTGCAAGCATCTTCAGTCTTCCAAACCAGGCTGGAAACCAAACCTTCCCTGTGATCGCACCCATGCATTAAGCTTACAACCAAGCTTTCTAGACTTCAAACTTCTACAGCAGAGAAGAAGAATTCATTGCTCTGAAAGGATGAATCCAAATGAAACCTGCAATATTATGTAATTGAATTATCCAGTCCCGCTATTCTAGATCTGCTGGGATTTGGGACCACGTACCATGAAATTAAATTACTTGGCAAGTACACTTAGTGGGTCCTTAGATAGTTCCTTAATGCCAAACTCCAGTTCAGAGGAAGAGATGATCATGTATTCACCCTATACATCATCTGTTAGCCGACCGGGTGGTGCTCCTGCCGTCAAGTGAGAAGCACTCGCTACACAAAGTGCGTTTATTTATAACAAACGATGGTGACAAAAATAACTAGGAAATCCAGACCAGTCAGTATCAGTAAACAAACGGCAATGTACAGAAATAGGGTAGGAAGTTAAATTCAGCATTTAATAAATAGCCAATTACTGAAATTACTTAATTAGTATTTGGGAGGAGGCTTCTGTTGTGCATGTTCTTCTGCAGAAAGTCAGAGAGCTTTATTTTAGCTGAATTTTTAAAACGAACATGAAACTTCAGACCATTGAGATGAAAGAAATGAGTACCTATTGGCAGCATGAGAAAAGCTAATTTTCCTGCTTCACCAGTTTCTTATGTAAACTCAATGTCTGACAGCTAGCAATACAAGCAGCTGAACTTCCTGGGAAGGCACACCAGCTGCCAAACGCAGGAGCTGAGTACCGACTGTTCTCTAACAGAACTGAAATACCATATGAATTGCAGCAGCAAGGAAACCGAGTACGTAAACACTGCTCCAAGTGGGCTGGAGCACGTGGGAGATTTGCTGTGAGTAAGGCAGCGTAACTGATTTTTTAGTTGGGCAGTTGAATCAAAAGTAAAATAAACTGTTTGGCTCAAACTTCCTTAAGAGAAAACACCCTTTCCGTCCCCATTCTCAAGCTGTTCCCTGTCAACCCCAAACACAACATTCCAACATCCCATTCATCCCAAAATAAATGTTTTGAAATCAGTTTTACTAAGACCACTATTTAGCCCAGAAAATACTTCTGCAGGTGTTGAATTTTTAAATAACCTCGTACTGAAAAAGGTTTCCGTTTTTAACGCATTTAGAACTTGGGGCGGGGGAGATCACAAAGTTTCTGTGCAAATACCAGCTTTCAGAAGAAATCCGTCTTCTGTGGTATGTCACGACAAGTAATCACAACTGAATAAACTTGTAAGTAGCTCTTACCCAACTTCTTAAAACATTACACTTGCCACACAGTTCTACTAAATCAATTACTAGAGAAAAAGATTTTTTTCTGAGGTCTTTTTTTCCCATTTTTCTCCCATGAGATGCCCCCTTGAAAAATGTTGTGAAGAGAATTTTAAGCATTTTAGGTTCAGAGTTAGGAATTCTAGGAAATAAGCTGTTAGCTGACGATGTAAATGTGTTTGCCTACCCATGGGAGATGTCCCTACTCTTTCATGGCAGACAGAAAAAGTAGACAGCAACAGAGAGGGTCACGGGGGAAGACCGAGACGACCTGAATCCCAGTCCATGCCTCAACCACATGCTGGTCTACCTCCATTTTACTCTCTAGTATCAGGTGCAGAAAGAAAAGTACAGAAACTAATTACATTTCTAGTCTTTCCAATTTTTATTCCCAAGCTATTTTGTTGTTACAGGGAATTAATTATGAAACTCTGTTGTTGACTTAATTTTTGTGGGCAATTAGTACACCGAATAAGCCAAGAGAAGGAATGCTGTGTATCTCCAGTGGCAGCAGAAACCTAACAGCAAGCGGGTTCTTTTCCCTTCTAGAGAACCAGAGTGAGCTGGTAGTTATTTCATCACAAAGCATCTTTAAGTCTTCCATTTTGATCATTACTTTGAAAGAGAAAAGTGCTGAAAATCTGCATTACCTCATCTACCTTCTTGGGATAATAAATTATAAACTCTGAAACATGCAGAAATAACCTGTCAGTAAAAAATTACTGCCACCATAACAGCAACAGGTAGCAAATGTAGGAGTTGATCTCTCACCATCAAAACCAGAATATAAAACACACCTCAAGTTCTCACCTGTGAGTAACTGTAATTTATTACTCTAAATCCACTTCAATAGCTCAGCTGCTTCTTTTCCATTGAAAAGTGAATGCTGTTAAGTATCCCTAGAACTTGAATTTGACACTTTACTATAAATTATATGATTAAAAACTCTTACAGTTACTCTTTCTGAATTTCATTCTCTTTAATAAAATGGTCAGTGTTCTGTTTCATAGAAGACCTGGAAGATTTATTCGAGTGTTCCCATAACTATTCCCCTGCAAGGGAAAAAACCCACCCACAAACCCGAAGTAACTAACACACAGAGTTCAGAGGAAAAGGATAACCACCTCAGAATTTAGCAGATTTTTAAATAGCTTTTTCTTAAAAGAGTACAACCAGAGTGACAC